ATTTTTACTTCCAATAGTGTTAAAATACTACACAGGTCAAGAACAAGGTTTTTTTTTTAATTTGCCAAATGTTAAACTTTATTCTTTACTCATTTATTCTATCTTCTCAATTACAATCACTGTATACAACAGTATCAAAGGACCCCTGCTCCTCAGAACCCCCCATTACTTCTCACCAATTGCATTAACATCCACTGTCATGGGTGTATACAAAACCTTGCCTGCATCAGTTTTGCATACAGGATGTAGAATCATCAGGCATCTTTGCATCCCTTCAGCGCTCCAACACTTCACATCTACTTTTTTTTTTTTTACTGTCATGCGTTTCCTCAGCAACACATGACAGTAAAAATAGGCACATAATTATTATCAACCATCTACACCAACACCAGGGCCCTTCAGGTGGTCCTCAATCCTAAATAAATTCTATGCATTTAACCTATCTAGTCTAGGTGTAGGTAGAGCTGGGCGATAGAACGATAACGATATGTATCGCGATATAACTTTTACTCGATAGAGAAATTAAGCTATCGCGATAGACCTCGCCGCTCTTGTCCTCTTAAAATAAAAATTAAAAATTAAAAAAAAAGGTCAGCCAATCCAAACTAAGTAGCGCAGAGCCGAACCAATCACAGCCGCAGCGTCACGTCGCGTGACTTGTTATGTACAGCACAAGTGCCAAGCCGCACGTGTGTTTGTTTGGGAAGCAGCCAGCGGGTAATGGAGGAAATGAGTGTGCCGACTAGAAAAATCAACCGAGCGTGACCGAAGAGAAAACAGATGATGGTTCCAACGCCGGAGAGATTGTCGAACGGAAGAGCCATAGAAGTTCCGTAGTGTGAAGGTATTTCGGCTATTTCAAGTCTGACAAAAAACAGAGTAGCGTGCACTGTAAATTGTGCCGAAAGCAAGTCTGGAAATACAATAAACTGGTGCATGCGTCACACTGTGCGCCACGTTATTGTTTCGGTGAAATGAATTTCTACAATACTGTTACTGTTAATTCTACTCTCTGCAGTGTTTAAATGCTTACATATACACACAGTTACTGTCCGTCCACACATACGACTCGGTTCTGCTTCTATGCCCCAGCTTTGTTTACTTTTTCCCACCGAGGCTTCTAGACTTCTGATTGGCCAACATTTCTGCACGGTTAGGAATCTAGCGCCACCTGCTGCTTTGGCATGTTCATAGCAGCGTTTTCCTTCATTTCTGCCTTTATGTGTGGACGGGATTATTTTTTAAAACGAAAACGGAAAATCTCCGTTTTCAAAAATACCCGTGTACGTGTGGACGTAGCCTCAGTCTCTGACTGGAAGCGCTAATTCGTCATTCGGCTTTTGTCAGACTAAAGTAACTGTTAAAACTGTTTGAAAAGCTCAGCTATACAACAAGGAGAGATTGAGAATTTCCTTTTAGTTCTCAGTTTATTTGATATTGACAAAAGTTAGTCAGTTTTGTCTGTTCTTCTGTAAAACAAACTAAGATTTATTTTTAGAATTAATATTTTGTTTCTAAGTGGAATTGACAATTTAGTCTGTTTCGTTTGTTCTATTTTGAAACTTAAACGCTTTAGCGGCTGCCTTTTGTGTAGTTTGCAATATTTGCCTTTATTTATCTGAAAAAGTCTCATGTTCCTTAAGTACATCTACCCTGTTGAACTTATTATGGGAAATAAATATTTAAATAAAAACAAGCTGCTGATTATTTCACATTTTACTTGTGAGCAACGGCACATTTAAATCTTACAAATATAGTTATTTGGCTTATATCGTGATAGATATCGTTATCGCCTGAAATGAAAAAAACATATCGTGATATGAAAAAATCTCATATCGCCCAGCTCTAGGTGTAGGACTAATGGACAGACAACATGGCTCTAGCTGTAAGCCCGTGCAAGTCAAGGCTCCCAAAGAAAAGCCACAATATGAAAGACTTTTCTGTCTATGCATCAAGGACTCTGTTCTTTTTAAAGAAAAAAGTAGATGAAAGGTAATTAAAAAAATCAGACATTTTTTTAAACCATAACCAATCAGGCTACAAAGGTCTGAGAAGAAACACAATTAGCGAGTTCATCACTATGAGCAACCATTACTTGTAGTCGTTTGATTTATTATTAATGTGAAAATATTGACTAATAGAGCTTAGTCAAGACATACCTGACAAAAGCACTAAAAACTAGTTGAATAATGAGCACGCAGCTGCTACTTTTTAAAAACACAGCAGCTGTGTGAGCCCAACAGAGCCCCCTGTTAGCCTAGTTCCATCAGCATGTGACTTTACACTGTCATTTTCTAGCAGCCAAATACTTACAACAGATTTAATAAATGCAAGGATTGGGGTAGTCAAAGGCTGATTTCACTATGATGAAATTCTGCATTAGTTTTGACACTTATTTTCCTAATATCCAAATAAAATTTCAAAAGCAGGGCCGAGCACACTTCACTGCACAGTAATGCGGCTCACTCATACATTGCTGAGCTAAGAACCACAGCACAGGCTACCAGACTAGTTAGAAAATCCTTTTGTACATCAGCACTTCTCTGCCCAATAAACCGTGCGGTAATGTGCCTACATGTATAATAATTTTCATCAAGCTGCCTAAAGTATGCATGAAATGGCATATATACAGTATATGAAGCAATGTGGAAAATAGCTTTTTCAAAGAAGACATGATTTGGGAGCAAAAGAGGTCTATGCATGAAAATAGCTTCAGCTTGTTTTATAACCTTAGTTTTCAAGTAAAACTAAGGACAATACAGCTATTTTTGGTCTAAATTGCAAAACAATGTTTAAACAGCTTATTTTAGGCTTGAAATATAAATTATGTTACATGGATACAAGAAAATTATTCAACCCAATCTACCAGTGAGGCCAATAACCTTTTCCTTTGCATTAAAAAAAACCTTCCAGTTATTGGCTTGATGCAGCATTACAGGCTGACACCACATAATTGCATCATCAGTAATACTTAACCGTACTGCTTTCATAAGACATCTACAGCTTAGTCTGTGCTGCATCCACATGAGTGTAGAAACCACTGATGTCTGGTTCTTTATATGTTGTACATGGAAAAAACCAAAACACGTGACCCAGCCACTATGAAAAGGTGAAAGCAGGAAAGGATTTTTGTGTCACACATCAGGTGAGCAGTTTTCATTCAGTTTTCATTCATTAAATCATAATTCCCTGTGATTTTCTAGAAGTTGTGACATAAGCACTTCTTTAGACCAGCTTGGACTGGGAATTGATCAGTGGTACAAAAAAAGAGGGAAAATCTGTCTGTAAGCTTTGTATGTACTAATGTTGATAAAGCAAAACACGGTCAGCATCATCAAATGTTGATAAATTTGGAAGGGAACTATTTAATGGCTAACCAATGCTGAAATACTCTATTATACTTCCATTCAAGACAATGACAGTCTCATTAACTACTAGACAATACCATCCATCCATCTTCCTCCGCTTATCCGGGGTTGGGTTGTGGGGGAAGCAGCCTAAGCAGAGGAGCCCAGACCTCCCTCTCCCCAGCCACCTCATCTAGCTTGTCCGGGGGAACACCAAGGCATTCCCAGGCAGGCCAAGAGATATAACCTCTCCTGGGTCTGCCCCGGAGCCTCCTCCCTGTGGGACATGCCCGGAGCATCTCGTCCAGGAGGCACCCAGGAGGCATCCTTATCAGAATCAGAATCAGAATACTTTATTAATCCCGAAGGAAAGATGTCCGAACCACCTCAACCGGCTTCTTTCGATGTGGAGGAGCAGCAGCTCTGCTCTGAGCCCCTTCCAGATGGCTGAACTTCTCACCCTATCTCTAAGGGAGAAGCCAGCCACCCTTCAGAGAAAGCTCATTTCCCCCGCTTGTATCCACAATATTGTTTTTTCAGTCACTACCCACAGCTTGTGACCATAGGTGAGGGTAGGGACGTAGATTGACCGGTAAATTGAGAGTTTCACACTCAGCTCTCTCTTCATCACGACGGACCGGTACAGCATCCACATCACAGCAGCCACAGTACCAATCCGTCTGTCAATCTCCCACACCCTTCTTTCCTGACCCATAGTGGACACACCACCCTTTTCCAGCTGAGGACCATGGCCTCAGATTTGGAGGTGCTGATTCTTATTCCCACCCCTTCACACTCAGCTGCGAACTGTTCCAGTGCGAGCTGGAGGACATCATCTGATGAAGCCAACAGAACCACATCATCAGGCTACTATCTAGTACTTCCCTGGTGGGGAAGCCTGATCAAGTTTCTGTTGTGGCAGTCTTCCAGACTCCATCTCTGGTGTTTTACATTTTTGCTGGCAATAGAAATCTAATCTCAAAATCTGCCTCAAAGCAGAGTACTGCAGGTTCTACAGCCAGAAAGTGTACGGTCACTTGACTGAGGATGCAGAGGTGAATAGGGATTGCCATTGGAAGCTGAAGGCCAACCAAAGTATAATAACAAAGTAATAATAAAGTATAATAGAAGCTTTGGTGGACAATGTGATGAGCTTTTGTAAATAACTATATACCAGCTTTCTCAAGTGTAGTTTTCCTATGGACTCAGGAGCACATAGAATGATCCTTGAACATTTCGTTCTTCTTGTTACAGGTCAATTCACCTCTTTCTTTGAACTATCAATCACTGCTCTCTCCATGATAACACTAGCGTTACTGGGTCACTCTGGAGATGGTAAGCACCCTGATGATGTGGAAGGTAACACGGGGCAGTATTTAGCGTTTTAATGGGGATCCTGGAAAGCCGTGAAGTCTCAGGGAGGAGTGGCAGAAGTATCCTGTGCACTGTAGCTGTTCAGCTGGTCCCAGCCGTTTATCATTCCTCATAGCTCACCATCCCTTCCCTTTTAGAGGTAACCATCTCTCTTTTTCCATATCTTTATCTACTTTGAAAATCACCTCAGAGGGCCTACCTCTGCCTCTTTCAAAAACAGATTGAAAAAAAGAAAAACAGACACTGTATCACTAGAGTCCTTTCTTTTCTCCCCTGTACCTGTTTTTAGTTCCCTTCGGCCACTTGATTGCTGAGCTCTTCTGGCTGTGATGATGTGTCCTTATGTGTTGTCATCTTTATTCCTGAACTAAATGTGGCCTGTCAGATTGGATCAAGCTGCCTGGAGCTCAGTGTGGCACCAAAGAGAATTAACGGCCCAGTAGTCGTTATCTGGCTGTACAAAGACAAGTCACATAGTCTTTCTCTCATTTTGCATGTCTTTCTCAAATACATTTGGACAGACAGTTATACACACTTTGTTGGGTTACATAAATGCACTGCCATGCCATCCAGCACGGAGGTACAAAATCAGCCGGCTGCTTCATCACAGCTGGTAGCATGTCAGAAAATCTTCCAGGTCTGTGTTTGACACATCTCATGTCTACCCACTTGCCTAGATCAAACTGAGACAGATTACTTGACTGTTTGATAGCCAGCTCTTTAACAACATTTTCTTGCTTCCCTATATCATTTGCTAACAGTGACCCACTGTGCCTTCTGCAATATAGCAGATATAACATCAAGGCTTTTGTGCTGTCTCTTCTCCCCCAGGGATACAGGCGATGCAGAGGCTGGCGTGGACAATCTGCAGAATGTGTGTGAGTAAGTGACAGACAGACAAAAAAGGAACAAAGTGAGAAGGACAACCTCTGAAAACACTGCAGCACAGCACTTCAGCGCTGCCTCAGGACAACAGGCAATATTCCAGAGAAGGGACCGAAATAGAACAGGAAAAAAAAAGCTGGATGAACACTTAAGGATATCTGCCAGTGAACAAGATCTCAAGTTGCTGATGCTATCCGTTTTGGAGACTTGGGAGTCCTGTAAATTTGGAAGGATTTTCTTCTATACAAATTTGTGGAGGGCATGGTGGCAGGGGAAGAAAATCTTGAGCATCCTTTGGTGTTAAACTACTGTTAAAGGGTATGTCCATTTTCACTTGAATTAGAATTGTCTGCAAATAGTGACATATTAGTCCTTAGTTGTTAGGATTAACATTATCACGCCTGTGTGCAGCAAGGATAATGCAGACAATAACAAAATCTGTGTCAGGATGAAAAAGTAAAGGTATGATTTCAGTCTGAAGACATCTGCTGCCAGTTCTGCACAACTGAAGTTAAAGTTCCCACAAGAAAATCTGACTACAAATTACTCCAACATCATTTATCTACTTCTAAATTGCTGCTTTGTTTGTCGTCTACCATTAAATTGTTCCTTTGTCTGAGTCATTGATCTTAATCTGAAACCATTTTTTTTTTCACTTCTCTGTAACAGCAATAAGTCTTAGCAGTTTGAGAGATTTCCTCACAGTTTCATTTCTGGAAAAAAATGGCAGGAGATGCCATTAACTAGTCAAGAATTTATATTCTCTGCTGTAGCTAAGCATACTAAAAATACCTTTAGAAACTAGTGCTAGAACTGAGCTTTAAAATCCCTTTTACAGTCAATTAATCCTGAAAGAAATAAACATACATGAAAAGACTCACTAGTCCTCCAAACAATATAATCCATCCATTCATATACGTACTTACAGTCACTTAGCAGGGTCACATGGGCAGCATTCCAAGCATAAAGGGATGTCGGTGGTTTCAGAGGCAAAAATAAAATAAATAATAGATAACCACAATTTAGTACCACCTTTACACTTAATTCTAAATAGATATTTTCCTTCTGTTCTTAATGAAGGCTCTGGCAAATGTATACTTCTTGTCCCTGACACTTTAGGTAGGGCAAAACAAATATCAGCTCAGTTAGAAACCCAAATCTTAGGAACTTAAAAGCTTTTTCACAGGATCTCCATGCATAATTCATAGCCACTCTGAGACAATCAGAGGTTTCACTAACTTCTGTATTGCTCTGAAACCCAAACAAAGAAGGATTTCTTTAAACTACAGCCTAAACTGCATTTAAAAATGCAATGAGTGTTTGAAAACCTGGCAGCCTGCAGTGGTCATATGCGATAGAGCCTAGTGAGGAACTAAATGGAAGACAGTCCTGGATGATTCCCAGAAACAAGCTTCAGACCAACCAACCTAGTCTTTATACTATACATAACTTCTGGTGTAAAACAGAGAAATAATTTTAGGAGACACTTCTGATAAAGCACCGGTTGGTCATACCTATACTAGCAACAGGCTTCGCATTGGAGCCTGTTAGAAGATCAGACTCAGAGTTTCTTCCATTTGGAGCCAAAGCCTTCCAAGTAACATATGTTTGTGTTGTCCTACACACTCTGAAAGCACTATGAACCAAGCCAAACGTAACAAAATACTATATGAAGGTTTCTGGGGTGTCACGCTTTTACTATGAACACAGCAACAAACGTCCAATGTCATGGGTTTAGGAGCTGGTAAGAGAAACATGAGCCAGCTGTCACTCATTCAAGTGTCAGACATTAAAGTCTTCTATAAACTGTCTCAACAGCACCCAAATTAGAGAGCCTGAACTTAGTGAATGGGAGCATAATTATTCAATGAAAGAAAAGAAAAAGATGATTTTTGAATAGGAATCATAAGGTACTCCCACATTGGCTTCAGCCCCAGTATAATTGCCACAAATGGCTTGTTACAGTCTTCTGAAGCCAAAAGGCCAAAACCACCCACAGGTACTTCCCAGCTGTAGTGGGTATTCTTGAGCTTATAATCAATACACCATTATATGGGTCAACTGCTCTGAATATGAGCTGGTTAGGAGACAGTACAGGAATTGTACCTCCTACGCTAACATAATCAGAGCATTATAAAATACAGCTTCTGCTGGCTCACTGTTCTACTTTGCTGACATGGGACCAAACTAACTGAGTTCTTGAGCTTCTTTGACAGAACGTTGATTTCTAGTGTAGCCCTAGTGTTTACCAGAGAGTTATAGACCTCTATCTGGGGTGATGGAGTGATCAGAGTCCATCAATTTCTATAAATAACCTATAAATTTAAATAACCAAGTAAGTCTCAGCAGAGCTACCTTCTCCTGAGTCTAACTACAACTCCATCACTGTAGCAGCGGATGAACCATTTCTTCATGAGCTGCAAGTCCTGGTTAGTGCTGGACTCTAGCTCACAGCAGAAGGTACCAGCTTCAGTCCAAGACAGAGGGATTGGAGTATGTCAGTGGAGCATGCTCTCTGGGGAAGCAGCTGAATAATATCAAGGACTGCAATAATGGTGAACTGGCCACTGGGCCAGCAGGCAGGAAACTTATGTGTGTAGAAGAGCCACAACTAGCTGGTTAGCAGTGACTGAACTTTAAAACAATCAGATTTTGCTCAGTAAGTTCAGCAGTTCAGCAGCTCAGCAATAAATTGGCACATATACTTGGCCACCCATTAATATATATGTGTGGCTCATCCAAATAAAAACTAAAACAATAAAACACTGAGCCCACTTAAAACCCAAAGTTCAATAAGCTTTAGGAAGATGACCTTCATGTAATACCTAAAGTGTTCTCTAATTGCATTTTTCGTTACATGTATAATGAATTTCTAACAAAGGCTGCAGAGTGCTGTGGGTCACTGTGCCAAAAATGGTGCCTTCCATTTATCTGACTCATGGGACTGATGATTTGAGGCACATGTACATCAGCTCCACCACCAGCCTCTTAAGCTATGATCACCTGAAGAGGCCTCTTATGGTATAAATCTCTCTCCAGAGGTGTTTGTCTGCCTGCCTTTGCAGTGGTATGTTTTCTGACTTAGCCTAATGTATAATCTGCTTTCCAACAAACTGAACTGAACCCATACTGTGTGCACCAGAGTTGCTGTAAAAAGTAATGAGAGTCAATTTTGCTCAGCACTTAGGGGATATGGAAATGCATAAATATCACTTATTTCCACTGATAAAAATGTAGGGGTCTTCACAGAGGGGACTCAAAATCTGCTAAATAAGCCAGAGCTATAGTGAAAGGTTGCAGAGAATGGCTTTGAATTATTCCAAAGACAAGAGCAGAAATGCAGATCATATTGGAAGTATAAAAGTGACAGGGCAAAGAAACAAAGCCAGGTGACACGTCAAGTCAAATCGCTTATGGTGATGTAATCAAGATGTGACATTATAACCACTGGATCACTTTATTGGTAAATATAAATTATTGAAGGAACACAAGTATGGTTTTAGGGAAAATGGAAGTACTACTTATGTATTAATGGAGATGTTGAAGAAATGCCACAATACTGATCTACAGAAACTTAATACAACATATTACAGTGAATTATTGAGAAAGTTGGAGACATAAAGGCACAAGCTCATACCTGGATTAAAAAGCTGTTTGGAAAATAATGTGAAAATTCATTCATCATTTTCGTAATTTAGAAAGGCTACATTTGGATATTTTAGAGATTGGTCCAAACATTTTTTATGCTTTTTGCACTGCTTTTAATGTGAGTAGCTTCCCACTTACCCTCTATCTTGCTTATGGAACATTGCTTTTCAAAAGAAGACAGATGGATAAATTGAAGGAACGAAGGTTTGCAGATGTGCAGCATTTTGAAAATGACTACCTTTGCGGTTCTGGTGTTAAAACAAACATGAATTCTCACTAGGATTTCAGTCTGTTTGGATTAATGTCTGATTCAGAAAACATGCAAAAGGAATATTGGAAACTCCAGAAATATGAAATAACATCTTGTCTGTGAGTTTATCGACCATGAATACCACAAAAGCTTCACTGTGGTATTTTTATTTTCACAGCTCCAGTGTCATTACTGTGAACACCTCTTGTGAACCAATATAGAGGCAACAGCAAGCCGGTTTCCATTTGCTCAGAGTGCTAGGTTACAAAGCTGCACACCAAAGGACCATGATCAGACTGATAGTTATTCTTATTTTTGACAGTACTTATTATTATCAATCAGCTGATAAATGAATATGACAAAAGGGGATGTGTGGGATTAATCCTCCCTTTCTCAAAGGAAAACACAGCTATGGATGCATATGAATGATGTTTGCCTTAGATAATCACTGACTTGAGTCAAGTGCTGCTGACTCTAATAATTACAGTTCAAAGATACCTTGCTTGTATTCTGTGGTTTAATCTACAGTTTGCTTTTGAAATATATCATAACTTTCTTATCACACAAACAGTGGCGGTTGGTGGTTAAAAGAAAAAAAACAAATTTTGGGTGGGTGCAATTGGGTCTGACAGATCAAACAATGAATGTCTTGAAAAAAAACACAAACACAAATAACCCAGCTGTTCTACTATACTAAGCCTGAAAAAAGGTGAAGCTTCATGCTATTGTACAAGTGGCTACAGCTGCTCTCATGTCTTTTGCACTTTTCTGTTAAGTGCTTTATCATATAGCCTGCAGGGGAAGGTTTGTGTATATGCTCTCCCACGGTCCGTGGACTGCTGCTGTCTAATTCCGGATGGTCGAGTTCAAGCCCTTTGATTCTTTTCTTCGACCGACTGCCTTAAAAACAGAGTGTTGCTGTAAACAAACAACTGATTTTAACCCTGTTTCAGCAGCACTTGAAGTTACCATTCTTGGTCAAAAGCTAGCTAATGAGCATCTGTTCTTCTTCTTCAAAACAAGAGTGGCTGTGGTGTGACGATGTGTGAATGACATGAATGAATCAAATTCTTAAACAAGGCAGGTAATCCATGCCGACTGGTTCAGGATGCACAAAATTGCACCCAAAGGGGTGAATTCAATGCTCCAACTGACATGACAGGAAAACTTTCAGTGTGTACATAGACTCCCATTACTCTGTTTAAACTAAGTGCGTGTTATTTACAACATCACCCAAAAATCTATATTCAAACCCTTCATGGTCACAAAACTGAAAAATTGAAACTGTTAATTGCATTAAAGGACTCTGCCTGGAGGTTAGACTCCAGGACTTTTAAGAACCATGTGGAACATTTACCAAGAAAATTAGAATAGAATGACTTTATTGTCCAAATTAATGGAAAATTGTCAGAATAAAAATTCTGGTGGCTATCAGCCAACATACATACATATGCATATAAAAATTCAATACAACTATAGAAATAAATCACAGCATCTTATTAATTAGTATGCTGATTGCTTTTGGCACAAATGATCCCATATACACCTTTTTACTAGCTAGATGCATCCTATGAAATCATTCAGAGGTCATTATTTCAAATTCAAAATAAAGGTGTTCACATTCTGCAACAATAGGCCGGGCTTTACTTAAGACAGCCTGATGATAAAGCTTATCCAATGAAGTTTGGTGTCGACCAATCAGTTCTGACAATCCTGTTCAGTTCTTCCTATTTTCAACAATCGAGGTACCATACCAGACTAAGATACTGAACTGAAGCATGCTTTCAATCAAGCTGACATCAACTCTTTCCACAGTTGTGGCTAACTGCAGAGCCTCCCAATATCCTGATAAGAAAAAAATTCTTATTAGCAGTCTTGTAAATGGAATTAGCATTAACTATAAAAGTTTATCTTTACATTAATATATGTTCCCAGACTTCCACAGACTGACCAGAGAGTGAAAGACCTTTTATGGAGCCTGTGTAATTCAAGACAAGCTCTTTCACATTGCCAAAATTAATCAACAACCAATGAGAGTTATGCCATTATTCCAACCTACATTCCTGAGCAAAACAGTTAGAGTTGCTACAAAAGAGATCCACAACAGCTATGTCGTCAGCATATTTTAACATTTTCGCATTCCTATCCTGCAGCTGCATGTAATTTACATAAACATAAACTGGCATAACGATGGAACATACCGTTGAGGGGCCCCGTAGTAACGTGATTTAACTGACAAAATTTATTGATGACAAAGGTTGGTTGGCTGGTTATGTATGTAGAAACAAATCTTGATTTAAATCAACAAGTTGCAGGCTCATGCACTAGAATTGCACACTAGAATATTGTGCAATCCACAATTTTTGCTTGATTAACCTTCTAGGTCCACCTTGAATCCTCTTGATTCTGTGGATCACAGTGCATTACAGTTTATCACAGGTGATTACTGTCTTACTCACCATTGCACCTTATATGAAAAAGTGGGGTGATCCTACCTCGCAAATCGAAGAGAGCAGCACTGTACCAAGGCTCGATTGCAAATAGTGCCTGCTTACCTTTGTTCTTAGACTGAATTTAAACACTGTACACAGCACCTCTTAGATGTACAAAACTATGAATCTACATTCTGTTACCTTTTAACATGTAATATTTATTTATCTTCAGATATATTGTGGTGCTATATGATTTGGCTATGTGTCTAAATTTGCTATATGGTTCTTGGAAATAGATCTCTTATTTTAAAACATACATTTTACATTTATCAAATTTATCATTAAATACAATAAATAACCGCTAAAAAAATCTCAATAATAATCGTAGCTACATGCATGAATGTATTTTTCAGGTTAGGTTAAGTACTACTTTATACAAACACGTCAAACATCTATACGTGAGCTGGTAGCCGCTGGACACGTTTCCCCCTGTGATATTTACCAACACCTGCAAAGGCAAAGCCCGGTGACAGTGAAGCTGAAGGAATTTCACAAGAACAGAACTGTGTCCCAGCAAAGCAAAAAGCTTTACCTGAACTGCAACTCTTACCTTAGGTCTAAGTGAAAATGTTGATTTTGTCTTTCAAGATAGTTGAGAGGTTAGCTCATTTGGGCAGCATCAGCGTCTCAGTATGTTGCAGAGTGGAAAGCAAAGACGTGTAGTGGAAACGGAAAGAAAAGCATACCGGCGTACACGGCAGCTGTGAGTAACCAAAAAAACACCCGCGTGTTCAGTCATAAAATTTCTCCGAGACTCGGCCGGGGGGTTTTGCTCTTGTTTACAAGCTAGCCTAGCGCTCACAAAAGCAGAACCAGAGAGATCATCTGCCTGAATACCGACTCCACTCTGCTGTGTCCAGTCTCCACCTACCGCCGAGGGGAATCCCGCGCTCAGATCTCGCGATGACACGAGCTCTCTCACAAACGCTCCTGTGTGTGACTACCTAGTAGTGATGTGCGATACCACTGATTTCCTTTCCGATCCGATACCAAGTAAAATTCAGGGTGGTATCGATGATACTGATCCGATACCGATACTCTGTACAAAAACTTAATGTTTAATTGTACTTCATAATACAATATAGAATTGCGTTATGTAATTGTAATAATAATATAATAATTGCTTAATGATGCAGAATAATCATATAGAAATAAAAAACCTGAGGTTGTGCGCTATTTGAGTATGTTGCCTGCCTGCAGCACTAAAGGACTCCGCGGGAGACGCCTGTCTCACCCTAGCAGCACCTGTCCTTCTCCTCCTCTTCAGTTCGCGTGATGAAACTGATGCAGTAAAAAAAAAGAAAGAAAATAATCCAGCATTCATTTTATGAATAGTTGCAGCTCTGCTTTGTTGGACAAGATTTGAACTGATACAGAAAACAAACATGTGAAATTAAATGTTACATATGGTACAAGACAATTGAAATGGTAAATGCAACTGGGTCCCAATCCCAGAATGGGTCATTTGGCAGATGACAAGGTATGTACTGACAATTTTGCCTAATATTTAATCTGTTATTATTAATCTATTGTAGGAACCTTGCATTATTCGGATCATCGCTAGTGGGAAGTGCACTGGTGTGTGATGGGAAGACAAACATAAAGCAACACTCCCATCTTGAGTTTGAAAAAAGAAAAGCAAGCAAGAGGATTGTTTCTGTTGTTACTCCATCTATTCATAATCTCTTTATAAATACAAACGCAGCTCTGTCATAACCAAAGCATAAGGGAACATGAAAGTGACTGATAATCCTGAAAACCAACAGGTTATGACAAATTAAAGGATGACAAATAGCTTCCAGAATTACTTTAGTGCTCCTTGTTATAGACACTGCTCAACTAACTGGCTAACTTATTAACTAACTAAATAAATAAATAAATACATGAATAAATAAACATAATAAAGGAACGCTTATTCATCACAGTATATTATCAGGTCAGTTAAACAGGGGTATTAATCTGCTCGGTTAAGTAGCAGACAGGGTTGTTAATCAGTTTCAGCCTCTTTGGTATTAATGATGTTAACAACAGTTGCAACACTGAGATAACCACTAAAACAGTAATGGTTGTACGGATGGAACCCACTGAAATTTGTTTCAGGATGAAAACTGCCCTATAAAATGACCTTTCTTAGTGGGCCCTGTGCTCACTGCTCAGCACTGTAGAGCCCAGTTGGCATTTTCATAAAATACCAGAATTGTCAGATTGCCCACTGGTGCTGTGTATTTTCACACATACTCACACATACTAACATGAAATCCTTCTTCATGTGACAGATGTGAAAGGAAGACAGGTCATTAGAACTTTAAGCTGCCTTGTTGGGTCTGTGATGGTTGAGGGAGGCATATGGGATGCACAGACCGTGCACATAAAAGCCTGGCCTCATGTGATGCAGTTCCTAGAGGATGAACGATTTTATACCATTGACTGCCCTCCATGCTCACCTGATGTAATCCAATAGAACACCTCTGGGACTTTATGTTTTGGTCCATAGGACACTGCCAGGTTGCCCCTCAGGCTGTCCAGATGCTCAGTCATGCCCTGGAACAGATCAGAATCAGAATACTTTATTAATCCTGAAGGAAATTATGGGTTACAGCAGGCAGCATGCTGGATAGCGCATGCGCACAAACAAAGGAACCCTCTGACCAAACATACCCTACACAAATATCACATTGGGGAGACAGGTCAATGAGGAAATCCCACAGTAAACCATCTCTCGTCTCATTCAGAGTATGCCACAACATTGTCAGTCATGCATGTCAGTCAAGCAGATTGTTTCAACTTTTATTTTTGGGACGTCTCCTAAATTCCTCTGTAGTTTGGTAATTTCCATCAACCCTGACCTTGGCCCTGTCGCCATCAATTGGCACTTTCTCTTCTCTGGCCAAAACCTAGCCCTAAACACAACAACAAACTGCTTCAACAAGAGATATTTGGTCTTGTACCTGCTTGGCTTCCAGAATGAGATTAAATTGGCACATGCTCAGTGTGTTATGGCAGTACGTCACAAAGTAAGAATTTATGGATTCAAAGGGTGAACCTGGGCGTATGAACTCTCACTCAAACCCCAACCCTACCCAATATTCTAAAGCCCTAACCCCATCCTTGGCTGTAACCGTAACCATTGGAGCAACCCAACCCCTGGCCCTAATCCTATTGGTTAGAGTTATTGCTTGTTTTACCAAAAAACTAACATTAAAAATGTATACTCTCTGCCCATTTCCGTATTTTTCCATGATCTTTCTCTACACATCAGGAACATTCCCATTCTGAAAAAACAAGATAAACTTTAAGCCCCTGGTATTCCCAGGTGGTCTTCTATTCAAGTACTAACCAGGCCCAATCCCGCTTAGCTTCTGAGATGAGACAAGATCAAGCAAGCTCAGGTTGATATAGCTGTAAGCTGATCTTTGTAGCACAAACTGGGAATTTATGGATTCGAAGAGTGAACCTAGCTGTACTGTCTCTGTCTCTCGGAACTACAACCTTTCCAATATTCTGAAACCCTAATTTTCTAAAACCCTAACACTAACATGGTACATGTGTATTCTTTCATGGGCCTCTGCCTTATTTTTCAATGCTCTTTCTCTCCACATCAGGAGCAGTACCTTTCTGAAAAACAAGAAAAGCCTATAGAACCTGGTATTCCCAGGCGGTCCAAGTACTAACAAGGCCCCACTCTGCTTAGCTTCGGAGATCACATGAGATAGGGCATGCTCGGGGTGGTGAGCTCGCAAGCTGCCACTTGGAGCAAAAACTGGAAATTTATGGTTTAAAAGGGTGAACTTGGGTGTATGTTCTCTCACTCAAACCCCAACCCTACCCAATATTCTAAAGCCTTAACCCCATCCTTGGCTGTAACCGTAACCATTGGAGTAACCCAACCCCTGGCCCTAATCCTATTGGTTAGAGGTATTGCTTTGTTTTACCAAAAAACTAATATTAAAAATATATATTCTTTGGGCTCACAAACTGGGAATTTATGGATTTGAAGGGTTAGACTAGCTGTGCTGTCTCTGTCTCTCAGAACTCCAACCTTCTAAAACCCTAACCTTAACCCCAACCCTGGCTGTATACCTAATCACTGAGGTAACCCAATCACTGGCCCTAACCTGATTGCTCGGATGTTTCTCTTGTCTGATTAAAAAACTAATATCAAAACAGACACTAAACTGTCCCAACTAGACATAAATGGCTTTTGGACATTACTAACAGGTTATACAAAATGGATGCATTAAATGTGTACAATTTAATGGGTCACTGCCTTAATTTTCAGTGCTCTTTTTCTAGACATCAGGAGCAGTGAAAAACAGGAAAAGCTTACAGCACCTGGTATTCCCAGATCCAAATACTAACTATATGTATGTATGCTAAATTGTCAAAAGCTGCTGCCTGTCACACAAACTGGCAATTTATGGATTCAAATGATAAATCTGGTAGCCACTGCTCCTGTTGCAGAGCTCTTTACTTAAGTGTAAATAAACACTTTGAACTTTCCAACTATTGTTGAGTCTGCTTTGTGAGTTTGTGCAAGAATTCGGTATGACAAAGAGGAAATAGGCCTATGAGCTGGAGGAGCAAAACTGAATAATTTATATGTTAAATTTAGCTCTGCTGTATTTGCTCAGCATTTATGTAGCTACCGTAGAGCACAACACAATGGGATATGAATTACTCAACTTTATCTTGTTGCACATAAACTCTGAATGTCTTACATTTGTTATGTATTTATCTGTATGTCTTTTGATTTTGTTATTTTTCACTGCACACATTTCAACATGGAAAATGCACCTTCTCTGTGTGGAATACTTCCGACTGAGCGAGCAAAAAATAAAAGCTGCAACTGAATAATGAAAGTCACTAAGCACCTGTGAGGGAAAGCTGGATGTTCAGTGAATCATTGAGCCAGATAACATGCCTTACTGGCAGATCAGGTATAGGTACACTGTGTGATAGAGCAAAAATAGAGAGAAAAGGTTTAAAGATCACAATTTTCAACTAAGAGTAATACTGAATAAGAGAAGAGAAAGGATGCGGAGTAAAGGCCTAAACATAGATCTGATTGTCTGACACTAGGTGTCAGTGCACACCTTTTACTGCAAAGACCAAACAACAGAGACAGGGAATATGTCCGAAAATTAGGTTTGTGTTAAAGTCTTGAAGTATGGAACCCAATTATTTCAGGTTGATTATCACTTTTGACATTTATCTTTTTTTAAAATCACGGAAGAAGTAAAGTACTTCCTGCTATCTCATAGTATACGGTTTTTGAACTTTCAGGGAAATGTGTCATTATTATTATTATTATTATTATTGTAACATTATCGTTATTTTTGTTGTTGCTGCAGTAACTGTCTACAATATTTGTGTTGTTCAGCAACCTTTTCCAATCAAGACTGTTTGACGTCAGAGTTGAATGCGGTTGATGATGCTGATATGCTACCTTCAAGTACTCCTCGAAAGAACCTGTATTCAGTCTGCTAGATTGTGAATATATACAATTTGCTGATGCCTGTCCAAATGACTACAACCTTATTAGTGTCAATTAGCAATAATAACAAAAGCGATCAAAAACAATTAGTGTCTATACTGTAGGTTCCATGAAAAAAATGCTACCTTGTTATTGCATTTAAAAAAAATTTAATGGTTTTGTAGTTAATCGTGATCCATATCTATTCAAGAAAGGAAATACGTTTTATACCTTGTGTATATTGTTTAAAGCAATTCTATGATAAGTGTGACGGTGTGACATTTTTGACACTTTCAGCACCCGAAGGCAGCGCCACAGCCCCGCCGCTTCGGCTGGGAGGATACTACCATTCCGATTAGGGCAGCTGTTGCCAACGATGCAATGCCTCCTTCATGGAATGAACGCTGGGCATAGGCACCGTGTAGTGCCGTGGTCTTCTTGAAGAGGCTGCACCGTCCTGGTCTTTTGTGATTATTCGCCACAAACAAACAGCCCCGGAGCGCATAAGGTACCCGGTGAAGACTTGGACTCGCGGGTTTATGGTTAGCGGAGAGAAGCTGGAGCGGTGAGCTGAGTGAACCGTAGTAACTTTAGCTTGCTATATGCTACATGCTAACTAAGGCTAGCTGGGTGGTATTGAAAGAAACACCTGTTCCCCCGAGTGACCAAAACGAAAAATGAGTTTGTGTTGAAAATTCTGTAGGGTGGGCTGGTGACGTTCCGTTGTTTCAAAGTGATTAACGTGAGTCATCCGGTAAGCTAACATAGGATCAATCAATGAACAACGAGCTACCCCCGTCCCCCGGGTGGGAGCTAACGTTAGTTGGTTGTGCTACCTCCGGGCCCGTTACACAGCTGAGTTACGAGCTTAAACTCTGCCGTTGTTGTAACAAGTATTTTTAAACATTTAATGTATGTATACATATTAGGAAAGTTCAATTTTTATCAGTACGAGGCAACGAGTTGGGATGCATTAGCTGGTGCAGCAGTTAGCAACCACCCTGTCAAAACAAGCCCAAGCTCACTGCATTCAGAAAGCTGAGTGGTTAAACACACCGGGTTTTGTGCTAACATATATATGTTCAGTACGCTTAGCTGAACTCAATTAATTCTGTCATGTAGCCAAGCCTATTCTGTATAACGCTGTATAAAGAGACAGGCAGATGCATTTAGGCTAGACTGACATGTCACCACAATGGAAAAAGGTGCTTCTCTCTGTTTTTTTAACATCAGCTTTTCTCATGACAGGCAATTAATGCATTTTGCTTGTTTGTGTCTTCTGCGCATTAGGAAGCTGGAACCATGGGTTTAACATTAAGCCTTTGATGAACTGAAATAAGCTGGACCCTCTTGACTCATCCAACCCGCTCCTGCCCATAGCGGGGGCTCCCCTTTCCCCCTCACCTTCCAGAGTTATGGCAGGCTTTAAGCGTGGCTACGATGGCAAGATCGCCGGCCTGTACGACCTGGACAAGACCCTGGGCCGTGGCCACTTCGCTGTAGTCAAGCTGGCACGCCATGTCTTCACTGGGGAGAAAGTGGCGGTGAAGGTGATTGACAAGACTAAGCTAGACACAGTGGCGACGGGCCACCTTTTCCAGGAGGTCCGCTGCATGAAGCTGGTGCAGCACCCCAACATTGTGCGCCTGTATGAAGTGATAGATACGCAGACGAAGCTTTATCTCATCCTGGAGCTTGGAGATGGAGGAGATATGTTTGACTACATTATGAAGCATGAGGAGGGCTTGAACGAAGAGTTGGCTAAGAAATATTTTGCCCAAATTGTCCACGCTATCTCCTACTGTCATCGGCTGCACGTGGTGCACAGGGACTTGAAACCCGAGAACGTGGTGTTCTTTGAAAAACAAGGGCTGGTCAAGCTCACTGACTTTGGATTCAGTAACAAGTTTCAGCCAGGAAAAAAGCTAACCACCAGCTGTGGATCTTTGGCATACTCAGCTCCTGAAATACTACTGGGTGATGAGTATGATGCTCCGGCTGTAGGTATGCAAAAGATGTTTGACTGATGAATGATGGTAAAGAAATGAAATGAGTCACACAGCTAATTAGAACATTGTATTGGTGAGTTGCAGAGGTGTGTACTAGACAGGATGTGAATGTTGATGCAGCGCATTTTTAAAAGTGTAATGCACTCATTAAGTTTCAGCAGTCATTTTATCTTCCACTGAAGAGCACCGGGCCTGTTGCCTTGAGCACTAGTTCACTATCTTGTCCACTTTATTAACTCCCCTAGCTCTTCCAAAAAAGGAAAGGAAAAAAAGACAAAACTAAAAACATTGTCAGAAAACAGGCTTTTGGAATCAAACTGCACAGAACGTCTTTTCAAAGTCACGTTAATAGCCAGTTTTAGCACACAGCAGTGTGATGGGTGGCAATGTGGCTAGCACCTGTTTCACACAGTTTTGTCTCACCCTGCTGTGACACATCGGCACTTAGTCTTTATACGGAGCCTGAGCATGTGTTCGCTGTTGTTGTAAGATAACTTTAACTCAACAGTTATGAGCCCTGGGACTGTGTAACAGAACTTGTTTTAAATACCAAGGTGTGTGTTCCAGCACTGTGCTGCTGGGCATGGATCATTTTGAGAGCTGCCGTAGGCTACAAGGTCAGCCCAACTACAGCTGATGTCTGTGAGTGTCCCATTGCACTGAATTAACTGTCTCATTGATTTTCCTGTGAGGACTGACAGTGCAGACAGACACATTGCGTGTCCTTCCATGACATAATTATGATATTTGTCATATCAGGTGGCTTTGCTGAGACTAAAACCATGGGACTAAGTCCATCTCCTGAATTGGATAATGAGATGTACTCTGTTAAGCTTGTTTTTCAGACGGTGTGGGTGTGCATGCAGTCTTAATCCTAAAGGAGTCTGAAATCGGTCTCATGATTATTTATGCATGTAGAAAGGGCTCTCAAAGGTGTTCCTTCAAGGGCAGTCAGCTAGATGTTAATTTGCTTTTTCTTTTTCAAATGGAGTTCTCACAAACTTGAGAGGTGCAGTTGAGGCAATGAGGAAGCTGTGGTTACTTTCTCATTGAGCCGTACACACCCATGCAATCACAAACCACACACATGCTCATTTATCCTAAGACTTTGATATTGTACGCGTGACTGGACAGCGTTGTACCCTCTGCTCTGTGAACAGTTTGACTGCATGACTGCAGGGGATATCTGATTAAATGGCAGGCTTCATGTTATCGCTTGCTGCTGTTGGTGGCAAGCAACCAACATGCATCATCCATCAAAGTAAAGAGAAGACAATTTACTTTTTTCTTGTTATGAACTTCATCTAAAGAATGAATTAAGGTATAAACTAACAATGTGGGCCCCCAAAATTGTGGTATGAACCAAAACCATTGTTTGGGAGAAATTGTTACAACCCCAGTAGTAACCAGTCTGGAATGTTTATCAGTTTCATGGAGTCCTCAGTAGCATCCCTACAATTGTAGTATTCAGATTAGTCCACAATGCCGCTCACCTTACTGTTGAGCTAGATGGTGGGCCAGTCTGTGCTTTCTTCCAGCTGGTTGCTGTGTGAGATATACTTATTGGCACACATAGTAATTGCATAGGTACTACTTGTTCCTGTGTTTTCTAGCAGCAGCTCTCTCCAGTTGTTGGGTTGATGGTTATTCTGTGGTGGTTTGTTGTTGTTGTTTTTTTGTCGCTTTTTTTGTTTGTGTTTGTTTTGTTTTTTTAGTGTGGCCTTTGGATCCTGTGGTCAGAGCCATTAGCCACATGGATTGTTGCACTCTAAAATAGTGGAATGAGGAGAAAGTGCTTATTATTTGCACATGTGCAGGCAAGGCTTCTGAAAGGTTTACTTAGTATTCTAGTGGGTGTCCCTAAGTGAGCAGAGTCCTGTTCATCTCCTTGCACAGAACCAAAATCATATTAGATTGTGTTTGTTATGTATAATTCCACAGATTAAAAATGATGGTCTGTATATAGTCTCAGTCCAGGCAGTGTATTTCAGTCACTACCACTTGGTTGTTTCATTACAGAGTATTGTTTCTTACTGTTATGGTCCAACTGATGGCGGGGTTAAACTTTGTACTAAGAGGGTTCAGCATTTTGTGCTCTTGGCACTCTTTAGCTGATGAAAAGCCCTTAACCTATGAAAGCCTTCCTGGCTACAAGCAGCCATTAATGAACCTTATCAACATATTTACTGGCTACTGTGTGTGCACGTGTGCACAGTAGAGCTGTTTTGCTGGCTTTGGTTCCATCGCTAAAGCTTCAGGACTGTGTCTACAGAGAGCAGCCAGAGGGGCTCTTAATTGCAGTCCTGGTTACTGTTGCCCACTGCCAGTAGATGGGAAGGACAGTTAATCCATGCTATTGTTTGGACTGGGCCAGGAGAGGATGAGAAAGAAGCAGGATGCAGCTATTTATGCAGTCCTGTGTTGACACAGACTGACTGGCTTTGACTAGAACTCATTCAGCTTGTTCCCACCACTGGGCCCAGGACCATGTTTTCTCATTATGTTCACCATTTTCCACTGAGAAAAAGGATCTTCACATCTTTTTTCTCAGGATCAATATAAGATATCATAAATGGAAATGACTAAATGGGGGAAAAAAACAAACAACGAATGTCTTTCTGCAATTCCTCTGGACAGAACTGTTATTTTCTTACTTAATGTGTGAAAGCACACTCCCCCTTATAAAGCTAGTCCTTTTAACTCATCGTTAAAGATGTGTTAAAGAGCTTGGTTACACAGAACCTTCTTTGGCTGCCTCCTTCCTTTTGTTTTATTAGCATCATTGTTGAGCCAGTGGAAGAAAAAGGCATCATATACAGCAAATGTTTTCTGGTTTTTATTAATGATTGTGTTTTTGCTCTGTGCTGGTTTGAGTCTCAGTCAATTTGTCATTTCTCCACTTGGGGCTTGTTTCATGTCTTTGAACCCCCTTTATTGAAACTAAAGCCTGGTTTATTGCTGTAGCACAGAGCATGCTTTTCTTTAACGTAACCACTAAATAGGAGACTGAAGGAGCTGTGTACCCCTCCTGATTTGCAGATGATTTTGCAAATCAGACAGAAGATTTTCCTTGTCGCTGGATTTGGATTTAAAAAAAAAAAAAAAAAAAATCTACATTGTTCATTTCTTCACTTTCCATTTTGTCTTTGCAGTTTATTTGCTCTGTGCCTGCATCATTTGGTAACCAGCTGGATACAAGCATGCTTCCCAATTCCACACATAAAACACACAAAGTAGTACAATAGTTTCACAGTCCCTTGGACTTGTCAGTGTTTCACAACTTATTCCTCTTTTGCTGTAGTACCTACTCGACTCCACTTGACTCTACTCGGTTTCCGTTGTTTTCCATTCCCATTATTGAGTACCACCTCAATGTGCATGGGGCTGTTATAGCAACGTGTCTGAACATCTGGGACGTCATTTGTTTGCAATGCAAACACCACACAACAATGGCCATAGACTGCTGCTCAGTCAACTGCTTTTTGTCCGGCTCAGGGACCACGGTGTTGGTTTGTGTGCAGCCATTTCCCTTGTTGCCCGGTTTTAAAAATGGCAATTTTGATTATTGTGAAGATGTTGCTCTCGATGACTATCGAGTGATGCCACTGACTGGACAATTGGTGGCATGCAGTCTGTTGATGTCACATATTCGTATTGACGCAGCTTGCTTGGAACACTAGCCAAGCAGGTACTGAAAAAGTACCTGGTATCAGGTACTGCCACCTAATAGAAAACCTTAAAAGTTGAGCTAAACTGAGTAGGTACTAGTGGAAAAGAGGCATTAGTGTATCAGCCTGACTGAAGGAAGGTTTGTGGGAATTTTGTGTGGCCAAACAGGCTCCTCAGAGGTGCACAGCTGGGCAGAATCACTGTATTAGTAAAAGATATGTCATAGTGATGCTTTATGTTTGTATAAGTACCAACACACAGTATTGTTTTTTTTTTTGTTTGTTTGTTTGTTTTTTAATAGCGATGCACTTTTAGTGTTTATTAAAAAAAAAGAGTGCCAAGAGTGCCCAACGACCCCCAGAGGTCAAGTTAGGCACCAAAGTAGTACCAATACCAAAACTGATGATTTATTTTCATTACAACATGTAGATGTCAGCCTGCGTTTATTACAATGTGATGGCCTCAGCCTGTTGTGACATCATTGTCACGTCGCAATGCGTCGTACTAAAAACATAAAAAGTGTATTGTACAGCTGTCTCCATGCCCTTTCCATAAATTACTCGATATGGTTTCTTTAAATGTTTTTTCAAGGTCAATTTTGACCGTGGACCCTAACAGTGAAGGTCAAGGTCAAATGCATCTTCTGTAATTGTATGCAGATTCAAGTCCTACTCATGCATACATGCTTCAAATGTAAAGGTCTGCATTGTTTATTTTGGGGCAGTAAACAGTGTAGCATGCAGCAAATTTATGAGATTGCTAAAATGGCACAGCATGTAGCCATCTTAAGAATGTTTCCAAAGATGCTGTGAAATTTGTATCCATTTGTCATGAATTTTGGAAGAAAACAACATTTGTGATGGTCGCTGTTGATACAGCGGGTTGGGTTGGGCTGTTATTGACATATTCCTTTTTTCAGAAGGTGTTAATGACATAATTGTCTATAGAAGGCCGGGGTGGTATTTTTAGATAAAACACAAAAGAATTACAACTTGTAATCATAATTACTCAGTTTCACCAATCAGTTGTATCCATGATGGATTACGTAGCACTTACCACAAAGTCATATTGTGACTGATTTCACTCACTGTCTGCAGAGCTGCTAATTTTTCTGTAGTGTGTAGAAGTAAAGTTGTATAAAGCGACTCTGGCACACACAGCAAAATGCTCATTTTCTGCTGTCAGTTTGTAGGGTTTTGAACTTGAACTTGCATCAGTTATGGTCTCTTCCTTGAATGTAATCACACTGTCTGAAGACTTTATTGCATTTGGTTTAACAACACCATTACATTTGTACTTTGTCCGTTGATATGCAATATCTTTACATGTGATATCTAGTCTCTTAATCCAAGGCTGTCCTCCTTATTACAAAAATAAGATTAAGACAGAAATGTATCATCTGCCCCAATGAAATGCCAACTAAAATGCCAGTTTGTGATATGTGGAAGTTGGTAGTACTTTGTAGCCACCGCAACGTGATATTGACAGTATCATTGGATTTTTTGGTTGTATGAGAACTTGTGCATTTTAAGGTGTCTCTTTAGTCCTGCTTTCTTTAGCCTCTTGCACCCTCAAAAGCATGCTATTGCAGTAGAAGTCAGGGAAACCTGACCTGTAAGTGTGTGTAAAAGAGTGATTTATAAATCCAAGGGGGATGCAGGCCTACTTAGCAATAGTGTCTGTGTGAGCAAATGGTCAGCTGTCAGTCAGTTATGGTGGGGATTAGTCAAAGCTATCTAGGCTTCCAAGAGAGACTCATGTAAATGGCTGGGGTGACAGGTGGCAGAGGCTGTGCATTGCATAAAGTCTCAAGACACGAGGACACTCTGAGTCAAAGGTTCCACTGCATATTTTTGCTAAAGCTAAGTTGAAAGTTATAGAATTGCAACAAGTCATTGGCTTACTTTCTTCAAGGCCTGTGTGCTTTTTAGGCACTGAATGCAAAGTAGGGACTTGTCACTCTAAGTGCCATTAGTTTTTAGTACTTGAGTTGAAAATTGCGATATGCCTGAGAGGGTGGGATTGACACTGGATTTCTGCCTGACAGGGCCCTAACTACTCTGCGCTTTCTTTTGTTTCGGCCTTTTTATTGTAGAGGCTGCAGAATGACATGTTCAAAAGCACTGAGCAGTGTATGAGAGGTTAACTTGTCTCTTGCAGTGAGACCTGTGCAACTGCCACTACTTTGTATAAGTGAAATAATGAATTGTACACACAAAGCCAGATGGATGGATAGCTGCTTGTGTTTAAAAAAAAAAAAAAGGCTATAGCCTTTTTTAGAGAATTTAATAGTTGCTCTATAGTGAAAAAAAAACAGTACCCTTTATGTTTTTCACTGGATGTACTAACAGGGAAAAAAAACTCATTTTCTGTTTGCCTTATGTGTTGCTTACTTTGATATAGCGGAGCAGGCAATGTCTTTGTTTGTATGAAGGCTATAGTTTAGACCTCAGGCTCAAATAAAAGTAATGACAGAAGTGAAAACTCCAGAAAATATACCCCCTCCCCCAGTAGGTTGGATCCTTTGGCAGGCCTTTTCTGACTTAGGGGTTCTGTGTTTGAAATCTCTGCTTTACAGTAGGGCTGGGCCATATTATACCGTTCACGGTAATAACCGGTACAACGTTAGGCAACGATAAGAAAATAAAATATCGCGATAGAAGATGGGTAAAACGCGCATGCACAGTGCCTTTGTTTTCATACGCACATGGCCAAAAAAGCATGGCGGCAATGGAGAATGAGAAGGGAGAAAGCGTTTCGTTGAGTGAAGTGGATGAATCAGAATTAGTTTGTAAAAATGGTGCCACTTCAGCGATATGGAACTGGTTTGGTGTTTGTCCGTCAGATACACAGCACAGTTCTTTGTAGAACATGCAAGCGGGCCGTCGTTATTGCCGTATTTGTGGGACTAAGGCGCTTGTAAATCTGGGAGTAATCTGGGTCCTGAACTCCATCCTCTTCAGGTCCCAAAGTCAAACAAACACTGCAGCATAACTAAGAGTTAAAAGAAACTGTCTAAATTTTTTCATCTTTGATAAAACGATCAGCATTGCTGCTTTACCAGGTGTAACTATGAAGTTTAACATCCAGGCATCCATGAAAACAGAATTTATTACACTTAACGGAGTTAGAAGCTAGCAGGAAGATGGCGGAAGTTAGCTCGCTAGTTTCCTGAGCATTATATAGCATGTTCTGAAATTTCTGGAAAAATTCAAACGTACAGCTCTGCTATCACTTCCAACATAAATGAAGACAGGAGACTAAACAGCAGTGACGTTTGTAGGGTTACTGAAGTTGGGCTAGCTGGTTTATAATGATGTGCTACGTGATCGCTAGCGACACAGCTATAACATAAACAGTGAATCTGGAGGAATCAACGCTAACACTTTGCCACTCATTAAAAGTTAACGTGAGGGTTCCTGATAGTTAGAGAGAAATGCAATCGCATGGCAGGATGCTGTAAACGGACCAAACTTCAGTCAGGAGAACAACTGAGATAATCCATCCACAATACGAGGTTAGTCATTAATATACTGCAACAACATGGGAATAGAGCAGCTGTGATAGAATACAACATTAATGAATCAATGGTACAGAAGTGGAAGAAGCAAGAAATATGAGTTGAATAAAGTTTGATTTATCTGACTGCTTTGTTTCGCTTAATGTGTCTTATAATCCCGTGCACCTTATGGTCTGAAAAATAAATATTTGACTTTTCTATTTGTCACACTGTGGTTTCATGTTGCAAAGCCCCTTTTTTTAACTTCAGTGGATATTATACATGGTTATGCTCAGGATATGTCAGCCCATTTCTGCTGGAAATGCCTTTTGTTAAACTTTTAGCAAGGAATTTCCATTTCCACTGTTAAATTTTTATATAGCTTTAATGCACATAAAAACAGCTGCTTGTTTAAGTGAAAATACATGAATGGGGTTTTTTTTGCTCTAGTAAAGTTGTGGAGTTGTATTTTGTGTCGTGTCAATTATATCATCAGTTATATCGTTATCACAAATTTTAAAATGTATATCGTGATAAATACTTTTGACCATATCGCCCTGCTCTACTTTACAGCATAGTCAGTGATTTATCAGCCAGAGGCAGAGATCAGCGGCACAAACCAGACCAGGCTCTGTTTTCTGCTTCGCTTTGAGATGTTGCCATTTTCTTCTTACTTGGGCCATCCTCTGTACCTCTGTTAGCTCCTCCTCTCCCATCCACCTCCTGGAGAACAGGAGGTGGGTGGGAGTCCTGCAGCAGGCAGAGCTGGCAGATGTCTGCTCTGCTTTCGATTCAACAGGTCTGCTATTAATACATACACTGAGAGGGACAGTGACTGTTTGGCTGACTTATCCAAAAGTTCACATCCTAGATAGAGCGGCAAGAGTGTATTGCATCTGGCCAGCACTTGGTGAGCTAGTGAAACAGTCAGCTGTGTTCACATTTGTTGTCAGTATATCTTTCCACTGCCAGCTGACACCCAATCTACTGTTGTTCTTAGTTGTTCTTAAGAACAAACTAAATAAGGAGTTAGATGTGGCTATTTTTTTTTAAGAAGATAGAATCGGAGGAGATAAAGAAAGGAAATTATGTTAGCCTTAGATCTAACCATAGATATACCTCTTAGATTAACTATTATCACTGCAGGATTCCACTTTAAAATGGACTCTTCACCCTCCTGCCTTTATTATTGCTTATATATATTTTGTAATATATCTATATCATGGCTAAAGCACTTCTGGATGGATGCAAACTGCATTTCGTTGCCTTGTACTTGTGACATGTGCAATGACAATAAAGTTGAATTCTATTCTATTCTAAAAAGGGCAGAGAGCAGGCACGAAAGGG